ATCCGGGAGAAAAGCGCGACGATGGCGAGGGGCGTGACCGGATTGGACGTGAATTGGCGCTGAAAGTCGTTTTAACCGGAGCGGCCCATTTTTCATCTGAGTTTTCGCAGTCAAGTCGGAGAATCTTCGGCCCAGGAAAACGAGAATGTTTGCGTTCGTTTTCCTTGCCACCTCCAGTGCGCGCTCCGGGATCAGGCATTCAGCGCACTCTGAGAGATCAAGCATTTGGCAGCGCGTTGAGCGCTCCGGGATCAGGCACTTGGCTCGCATCGGGATCAGGCGTTCGGCGCGCTCCGGGATCAAGCACTTGGCGCGCTCCGGGATTTAGGCACTTGGCTCGCATCGGGATCAGGCAATTCGGCGCGCTCCGAGATCAAGCACTTGGCGCCTTCGGGATCAAGCACTGCTACGGCGCGCTCCGGGATTAGGCACTTTGGCTCGCAATCGGGATCAGGCGTTCAGCGCGCTCCGGGATCAGGCATCGGTGCGCTTACGGGATCAGCGCGTTCTGCGCGCTCCGAGATCAAGCACTTGGCGCGCTCCGGGATTAGGCACTTGGCTCGCATCGGGATCAGGCATTCGGCGCGCTCTGAGATCAAGCATTTGGCGCGCTCCGGGATTAGGCACTTGGCTCGCATCGGGATCAGGCATTCCGCGCGCCGCTGAGATCAAGCACTTGGTGCGCTTCGGGATCAAGCACTCGGCGCGCTCCGGAATCAGGCTCTTGGTGTGCGCTCCGGGATAAAGCACTTGGTGCGCTTCGGGATCAGGTGTTTGGCGCGCTGCAGGATCAGGCGTTCGTGTGCGCACTGCGGGATCAGGCGTTCGGCGCGCTGTCGGGATCAGGCATTTTGCGCTTCATCGGGATCAGGCGTTTGTTGCCGCCGCTCCGAGATCAAGCTACTTGGCGCGCTCCGGGATTAGGCAATCGATTTGGCTCGCCTCGGGATCAGGCATTCGGCGCGCTCTGAGATCAAGCACTTTAGGCGCGCCTCCGGGGATTATGGCACTTGCTCGCATCGGGATCAGGCATTACCTGCCGCGCGCTCTGAGATCAGAGCACTTGGTGCGCTTCGGGATCAAGCACTCGGCGCGCTCCCGGAATCAGGCTCTTGGTGCGCTCCGGGATAAAGCACTTGGTGCGCTTCGGGATCAGGTGTTTGGGCGCGCTGCAGGATCAGGCGTTCGGCGCACTGCGGGATCAGGCGTTCGGACAGCGCAGTCTGCGGGATCAGGCATTCGGGTGCGCTTCGGGATCAGGCGTTTTGGCGCGCTCCGAGATCAAGCACTTGGCGCGCTCCGGGATTAGGCACTTGGCTCGCATCGGGATCAGGCATTCGGCTGCCGCTGCTGAGATCAAATATTCGCAGTTGGCGCGCATCCACTCGGGATTAGGATTCGGCGCGCTCTGAGATCAAGCACTTGGCGAGCATCCGGGGATTAGGCACTCTCGCATCGGGATCAGGCATCATTCTCCGCAGCTCTGAGATCAAGCACTTGGTGCGCTTCGGATCAAGCCACTCTCGGCGCGCTTCCGGAATCAGGGCAGTCTTGGTGCGCTTTAAAGCACTTGGTGCGCTTCGGGATCAGGTGTTTGGCCGCTGCAGGAAGGCGCGGCGCGCCGGATCAGAGCCTCAGTCACTAGTATTCCCATTCCTCATTCCCATGCAGTAGCTGCTCCGCCCTCTGAAAAGTGATCCACTGCAGAATGTGCCGCTCATGTGAATGAGCCCCAATGATAAGGCTCCGCCTTCCTGATGGGTTCATTGACTGACAGGTCCTCTTTGAAGTACATTTCAGAGGTGTGTGTCCCTTTAAGACGGTGGCGTCCTGCGGCATTGGAGAATGGCGTTTGCCGCGCACTCCCCCGTCCGGCCCCCCTCCCCCCCCGCCCCCGTGGCCCCCCCTCACCCCAATTTATGGGCTCTCCATGTCCTTCTTATTGCCGCCATAAAACCTTCCTCCGAGCCGAAACCGCATTTTTAGCGATGTGAGAGAAACGACCGCGCCGGCGGTAATATGGCGGAACGTTGCTGCCTCCCGCGTCGCCCGACTGCGCCGAGCCTCGTAAAAATGGCCGCCTCCATCCAAAACTGAACCGTAAAAATCATCAGACCGCGGGAGAACCTCGAAGTCCCGACCCGCCGCCCTCGCCAATTCACCGTCTTCGCAGGAACGCGGCTGTATTTCTGAGATAAAAACGCCACCCCTCCCCCACCCTCCCCCCCCCCCCCCCCGCCGCGGTCCCTCCGCCCGCCGCGGGTCACGTTACAAAGCGCTCCGCTTAGAAGAGGATTTGAGATTATTCCCTAAATCGCGTGCTCCGCCGCGCGCTTACAGCGCCAATCCCCATTCTTCCCGGGAGCCGCGATCGCTATCTCGTTTCACGAACATCACTTCAGCTATTAATATCGCCGTTTCATCCCGCGGCGAAGACGGCGAACGCCAAAAGTCTCCGGAATCTGCTTTCCTTTGGAATAATCTCTTCCCTCAGAAGGGCGACGCGGCTCGGCTTTTCTCCGATACGATCGACGCGCGGGATAATCCGGCGCAAATAGACTCTTCGGTGTCAAGAAGCCGCCACTTTCCCGCCACGCCGTCCATCAAATGCCGGAAACGGGCGCAGCTCATCGCGGCGAGCAAATATCTGTCCCGTGATCGTCTGGAAATACTTCGCCGCTCGTCCGCGACTTGAGATCGCGCCGTAATAGTTGAGCGCGATCGTTTATTAATCTTCACCTCTTTTTTACGATTACGGCGCGCACTTCTTGATGAAAAGGGAACGCGCGCAGCAGGACGCGGCTTTCGATTGAAGCCACTAATCAAATTATTTTTATATCTGGAATTAAAGGCGCCATTGTAATCCCTCGGCGTGCGCAGCCCTTAATCTCGCGGCCCGCCGCATTATTCGCTGAAATCGACTTTTATAGAAGCTGTAAATGCGGAAATTGGATTAGTCGTTATTACAGCTGTTTAGGAGGAAATTCAGAGGCCGGCGCGGCGTTCTGTGACGTGCTGAGATGAGAGGGAAGGGCCCCCGCCGAGAGAACGCGCGGCGAAAAACGACACGGAAACGTCCCGACTAATGGAAGGCGAAGGTTTTGTTGTGTGTTTTTTTTTCTTCAGAATTATAACGAGGAATTTAGATATCGCCGAGCTTTGTAATGAGCGCCGCGAGGTGATGACAACGCCGCGTCTTCTGATCCCCCGCAATGTGTTCTAATACACAGAGTAATGAGACCCCGACCCCAGGAGCTGACAGTCTATAATGAGACCCCGACCCCAGGAGCTGACAGTCTATAATGAGACCCTGACCCCAGGAGCTGACAGTCTACAATGAGATCCTGACCCCAGGAGCTGACAGTCTAGGGGGAGCTGATAATGAGGCCCTGACCCCAGGAGCTGACAGTCTAGGGGGGATAATGAGACCCTGACCCCAGGAGCTGACAGTCTATAATGAGACCCTGACCCCAGGAGCTGACAGTCTATAATGAGACCCTGACCCCAGGAGCTGACAGTCTAGGGGGGGATAATGAGACCCTGACCCCAGGAGCTGACAGTCTATAATGAGACCCTGACCCCAGGAGCTGACAGTCTAGGGGGGATAATGAGGCCCTGACCCCAGGAGCTGACAGTCTAGGGGGGATAATGAGACCCTGACCCCAGGAGCTGACAGTCTAGGGGGGATAATGAGACCCTGACCCCAGGAGCTTACAGATGTTGGGGTGCAGAGCCCCCTCTCTGTGAAGGTGTTTGGGGTGCAGAGCTCCCTCTCTGTGAAGGTGTTGGGGTGCAGAGCTCCCTCTCTGTGGAGGTGTTGGGGCGCAGAGCCCCCTCTTGGTGGAGGTGTTGGGGTGCGGAGCCCCCTCTCGGTGGAGGTGTTTGGGTCGCGGAGCCCCCTCTCCGTGGAGATGTTGGGTCGCGGAGCCCCCCTCTCTGTGAAGGTGTTGGGGTGCGGAGCCCCCTCTTGGTGGAGGTGTTGGGGTGCGGAGCCCCCCTCTCGGGTGGAGGTGTTGGGGTGCGGAGCCCCTCGGTGGAGGTGTTGGGGTGCGGAGCCCCCATCTCGGTGGAGGTGATTGTAGTGCCGGGATCACACATGCTTCCAGGATGCAGAAATGTGAATGGGCCCCCCAGGCGTAGGATCGCCATTCACAGCGCAGTCACATGACTCGTCGCACAGACCCGCCTCCTCTCCTGGGCGCCATCCAACAAGGATCAGGAGATCGGGGCGTCCCGTCCCGTCATCAGCGCCATCTCAGGACGCCGGTGGTGATGACGTAAATATCGCGGTTTGAGGTGCGGGGGGCTGCGATCCGGGGCTCCCCCTCGGCCACGACTTCACAGATTTCTGCATCAATGCGATGAATAATTCAGGGAGGAGACGCCGCAAGAAATGCGCATCGCCGGCGAGCCGCCGAGGAATGAAATGATAGAGCGCCATAATGTATGCAGCGGGCCGCGCCGGACCAACGCCGGGGATATTTCAGGAAGCTGGCGAGGGGGGGGGGCGGTAATATCATTTATCACACGAGGAATAAATCTGGAGGCGGGTCAGGGCAGCGAATTAATGGCTGCGATTTCCTTCTAGAAATATCATTGAATAAAGGTTCGGCCCGGCCGCCATCTTCCAATGTGTATATCCTGCGTCTGCCCGACTCGCCGAACTCCTCCCACCTCCCGGCCGCCATCTTCCAATGTGTATATCCTGCGTCTGCCCGACTCGCCGAACTCCTCCCACCTCCCGGCCGCCATCTTCCAATGTGTATATCCTGCGTCTGCCCGACTCGCCGAACTCCTCCCACCTCCCGGCCGCCATCTTCCAATGTGTATATCCTGCGTCTGCCCGACTCGCCAAACTCCTCCCATCTCCCGGCCGCCATCTTCCAATGTGTATATCCTGCATCTCCCTGGGCCGCCATGCCCGACTCGCCGAACTCCTCCCACATCCCGGCCGCCATCTTCCAATGTGTATATCCTGCGTCTGCCCGACTCGCCGAACTCCTCCCACCTCCCGGCCGCCATCTTCCAATGTGTATATCCTGCGTCTGCCCGACTCGCCGAACTCCCCGACCCATCTCCCGGCCGCCATCTTCCAATGTGTATATCCTGCGTCTGCCCCATCTTCCAACTCGCCGAACTCCTCCCATCTCCCGGCCGCCATCTTCCAATGTGTATATCCTGCGTCTGCCCGACTCGCCGAACTCCTCCCATCTCCCGGCCGCCATCTTCCAATGTGTATATACGGAAAATCCTCCCTCCATCCTCCTGTTTTTACCAGCTCCTCCCCCTTCAGTCTTGCACAGGTGTACCGGACTCCTCCCCTTCAGTCTTGCACAGGTGTACCGGCTCCTCCCCTTCACTCTTGCACAGGTGTACCGGCTCCTCCCCTTCAGTCTTGCATGAAGTAGAGGCTCCCCCTCCCCCGGCTCCTCCAGTCTTGCACAGGTGTATCGGCTCCTCCCCTTCAGTCTTGCACAGGTGTACCTGCTCCTCCCCCCTTCAGTCTTGCACAGGTGTACCGGCTCCTCCCCTTCAGTCTCGCACAGGTGTACCGGCTCCTCCCCTTCAGTCTCGCACAGGTGTACCGGCTCCTCCCCTTCAGTCTTTCGCGTTTTCCCCCCTCCAGCAATCTTTGCCCATTAAAAGGAATAGGCTGTCAAAATCGCACGGCGCAGGAACACGCAAAAGTGTGCGCGGCGTGACGTGGCGCTCTACGTTCAGTCTGTAACGTGCGGAATATTCGGGTCAATTCCCACCGACGAGCTCGACCAAAAATCGCTGCACCGACCTGACCAGTGATGCGGCGTTATGTGCTTTTCCGTAAAAAAAAACAGGCGCGGTTTCTGATGAGGTGGCGCCATTAACAACGCATGGTACCGCCGCGCCCCCGGTACATGGCCGCGCATTTTCCTGTGCGACTTTTATACACCGTCTCGCCATGCACTGAGGCTTAAAGAATATTGTCCAATCAGATTGTCCGGTGTGCGGTCGCAGTCGGTTAGCGTCCTCCCCAGCGAGCCGCGCCCCATCCCTGCGCTGTATATATTACCCGCCATCTGTGATTGTACGCCGGCCTCCATTAATGCCGCACACAGCACATTAACCCGCTGATCGCCCGGCCCGCGCCTGTCACCGCCGCTCTCCTCGCCGCATCCGCCGCCGCGTTCCCCCTCATTAGGATTTCTCTGGAAGGCGACGCGCGGCGGAAGTGCAGAAATGGAAGCGATCAGCCGCGCCAGCGACCAGATTATGATTGAAGTGGAGGAGCGAGCGCTGCACTCCGTGTACGAGGCCGCGAGCCAATCATCCGCGAATGTTCTGTGTGCGTCCGCTCCGCCGCTCAGAAAATGTCCGCCGCCGCATGCCAGACGCACGCCGCCCCAACCTAGAGACCCTCCACCGGCCCCCCCAACCAGAGACCCTCCACTGCCCCCCCAACCAGAGACCCTTCACTGCCCCCCCAACCAGAGACCTTCACTGCCCCCCTAACCTAGAGACCCTCCACTGCCCCCCCAACCTAGAGACCCTCCACTGCCCCCCCAGCCTAGAGACCCTCCCTTCACTGCCCCCCCAGCCTAGAGACCCTCCACTGCCCCCCAACCTAAGACCCTTCACCCTCCCCACTGCCCCCCCCAACCAGAGACCCTTCACTGCCCCCTCCAACCTAGTGACCCTTCACTGCCTCCCCCAACCTAGAGACCCTTCACTGCCCCCCCAACCGAGATATCTTCCACTGTCCCCCTACTCCAACCAAGAGACCCTTCGCTGTCCCCCCCCCAACCAAGAGACCCTTCGCTGTCCCCCACCCCTTCACTGCCCCCCCAACCAAGAGACCCTTCGCTGTCCTCCCCCCCAACCAAGAGACCCTTCGCTGTCCTCCTACTCCAACCAAGAGACCCTTCGCTGTCCTCCTACTCCAACCAAGAGACCCTTCGCTGTCCTCCCCCCCCCCAACCAAGAGACCCTTCACTGCCCCCCCCCAACCAAGAGACCCTTCGCTGTCCTCCTACTCCAACCAAGAGACCCTCGCTGTCCTCCCCCCCAACCAAGAGACCCTTCGCTGTCCTCCCTCCAACCAAGAGACCCTTCGCTGTCCTCCTACTCCAACCAAGAGACCCTTCGCTGTCCTCCTACTCCAACCAAGAGACCTTCACTGTCCTCCTACTCCAACCAAGAGACCCTTCGCTGTCCTCCTACTCCAACCAAGAGACCCTTCACTGCTGCCCCCCCCCCAACCAAGAGACCCTTCACTGTCCTCCTACTCCAACCAAGAGACCCTTCACTGTCCTCCTACTTCAACCAAGAGACCCTTCGCTGTCCTCCTACTCCAACCAAGAGACCCTTCACTGCCCCCCTACCCAACCAAGAGACCCTTCACTGTCCTCCTACTCCAACCAAGAGACCCTTCGCTGTCCTTCTACTCCAACCAAGAGACCCTTCACTGTCCCCCCCCCAACCAAGAGACCCTTCAATGTCCTCCTACTTCAACCAAGAGACCCTTCGCTGTCCTCCTACTCCAACCAAGAGACCCTTCACTGTTCCCCCCCCCCCCCCAACCAAGAGACCCTTCACTGTCCTCCTACTCCAACCAAGAGACCCTTCGCTGTCCCTCCTACTCCAACCAAGAGACCCTTCACTGTCCCCTACCCCAACCAAGAGACCCTTCACTGTCTTCCTACTCCAACCAAGAGACCCTTCGCTGTCCTCCTACTCCAACCAAGAGACCCTTCACTGTCCTCCTACTCCAACCAAGAGACCCTTCACTGTCCTCCTACTCCAACCAAGAGACCCTTCACTGTTTTCCTACTCCAACCAAGAGACCTCTTCACTGCCCCCCCCCAACCAAGAGACCCCCCTCCAACCAAGAGACCCTTCGCTGTCCTCCTACTCCAACCAAGAGACCCTTCACTGTCTTCCTACTCCCCAACCAAGAGACCCTTCCCTCCTACTTCTCCCCCCCCAACCAAGAGACCCTTCTCTGTTCCCCCCCCCCAACCTAGAGACCCTTCTCTGTTCCTACCCCAACCAAGAGACCCTTCACGCCCCTCCCCAACCAAGAGACCCTTCTCTGTTCCCCCCCCAACCTAGAGACCCTTCACTGCCCCCCCCCCCCCAAAAATCAGGGTCATACTCCTAATGGGGCACTAATGCGTGGTTCGGACACCAACGCACGGCTGCCGCTGCGGAGAAACTTTCTGCTAAATCTGCAATTATTCACCGACGTAAATTATACGATTTTTATATCTTCTGAATATTTCCCGCGGAGCAAATTGCCGTCCAATAATCTGCAGCCAGCACTTCCATGGCGTAGGGGGCGATGTTTTATGAAGCGGTGACATTTCCTCATGGTCACATGTCTACGGCGTCCATGAAAACCATCATCCACTAGCTGAGAGCGGAGATCAGCCTTGCAGTGGGGAGGGGCTGCTCCTTCTTTGTACTCAGAGCGCTCTGCATGGGTGTCAACTACATGTCACATGTGCTGGAAGGAGGAGGAGCTACAGAAGACGCAAATACCTGCAGCTCTGTGTTCATTGATACTTCGTTGAGGGCAGACTTACATCTCTGAGCTGCAGCAACGCACGCATGAACACACGCATGAACGCACACATGAACGCACAGTAATGAACGCACAGCAACGCACGCATGAACGCACAGCAATGAACGCACAGCAATGAACGCACAGCAACGCACGTATGAACACACAGCAATGCACACATGAACGCACAGCAACGCACGCATGAACGCACAGCAACAAACGCACAGCAATGAACGCACAGCAACGCACACATGAACGCACAGCAACGCACGCAACGCACAGCAACACACGCATGAACGCACAACAATTTTTAAACGCACAGCATGCACGCATGAACACACAGCAGCACACACATGAACGCACAGCAGCGCACGCATGAACGCACAGCAACACACACATGAACGCACAGCACACACACATCAACGCACATGAGCAACGCACACATGAACGCACAGCAAACGCAATGAACGCTCCTACACCAACGCACGCATGAACGCACAGCAATGAACGCACAGCAGCAAATGAACGCACAGCAACGCATGCATGAACGCACAGCATGACACAGCAACGCACGCATGAACACACAGCAATGCACACATGAACGCACAGCAACGCACGTATGAACGCACAGCAACAACGCACAGCAATGAACGCACAGCAACGCACATGAACGCACAGCAACGCACGCATGAACGCACAGCAACACAGTAAACACGCACAGCAGCGCACAGCAACGCACGAAATGCACAGCAATGAACGCACAGCAACGCACGCATGAACGCACAGCAACACACATGAACGCACAGCAACACACACAGAACGCACAGCATGAACGCACAGCAATGAACACACAGCAACGCACATATGAACGCACAGCAATGAACGCACAGCAACGCACACAATGAACGCACAGCAACGCATGTTAGCACGGCGCGGCTATTCATGTGCACGAAGGCAGTGCACACACAGCAAAAATGTTGACGCCCCTAATTTTTTTGTTGGGGGTCCCTTAATGCATCATATGTGAACGCATGACATGGAACACGCAACCCATGGGCACCCTCAGAGTGCTTTTTAAATACAAGCAGTGTAAGCGATCAGCCTCCTGCGGTCCCTGTACAACAGAGCTCAGACTGGGAGAGGGAGAAGCTGCACAAGGAGCCAATCAGTTCATGCGCTGACCAGAAGCATGCTGATAGGGGAAGAGGTCAGAGTGACAGAGAGAAAAAGCTCGTTATTGACCTGAGCTCAGAGGAAGTGGGTTGAATGATGCTGACCATCAGTTTATGTCTGACAGGAAGCATGCTGATAGGAGGAGAGAGCAGAGTTACAGGGAGATGAGCTCCTCACTTTGCTGCATCTTCTTTCACTGTCCAATCACAAGCTCCGGGCTGGACCTGGGCTCAGAGGAAGTGGTGGTTGTCATTCACGCTGGGAACTGAGGACATCTAGTGGTGGAAAAGAAGTACTGCGGGGACCACTCCTGATTGAGATGGAACATTGCAGGAAATGCTGAATTTTGTTTTCTCTTTTTGTTTTTGTTAAATATTTTTTACTGCAGTTCTGTATGGGGCCCTCTAGATGGCACAACATGAGGGAGGGGAGATGGAGGGGGTCAGGCTTCTGTATGGGGCCCTCTAGATGGCACAACATGAGGGAGGGGAGATGGAGGGGGTCAGGCTTCTGTATGGGGCCCTCTAAATGGCACAACATGAGGGAGGGGAGATGGAGGGGGTCAGGCTTCTGTATGGGGCCCTCTAAATGGCACAACGCAGGGGGAGGGGAGATAGAGGGGGTCAGGCTTCTGTATGGGGCCCTCTAGATGGCACAACATGAGGGAGGGGAGATGGAGGGGGTCAGGCTTCTGTATGGGGCCCTCTAGATGGCACAACGTGGGGGAGGGGAGATGGAGGGGGTCAGGCTTCTGTATGGGGCCCTCTAAATGGCACAACGCAGGGGGAGGGGAGATAGAGGGGGTCAGGCTTCTGTATGGGGCCTTCTAGATGGCACAA